CTACTCCCTCTGAGGGTCTTAATGACTTAGTACCTCACTTCTAATGAGCAGAATAAAGCAGACGTGAAGATGTGCCATTTTCAAGACTAAAAATGCACTGTGGCTTTCTCCTTGCTCTCTCCAGTGTGGGAATCACTCGCTCTGGGAGAAGCCAACAGCCATGTTGTAGGGACACTCAGGCAGCTGGGCGGAGAGATCCCTATGGAGAGGAAGAGAGGCCTCCTGCCAAAGGCTATGGGAGAGCGTCATCTTGGCAGTGGATTCTCTAGCCGAGCCGCCCCTGCTGACTGCACTTTCATGAAAGACCTGAGCCAGAACTCCCAGCTAAGCGCCTCCTGGATTCCTGACCACAGACAATAAATGTTTATTGTTTTAGGCTGCTAAGCTTTGCGGTGATCGTTACACTGCAGTAGATAACTAATACACCATCCTTTCTGACATCGTATCATCGCCATGCTTGGAAATGCTTCTTCTCCAGTTTTTAGTGTCCAAATATAACCATCTTTTCAAGCTCACAGACCACCTTCCCGGAGCCATCCCTGGACCTCCACTGCCCCAACGCTCCGAAATCTGTAAACAACTAATCCCTCCTTTGATTTCCTGAAGAACTTTGTTTGTATGTGGTTCTAAGGCAAGCTGTCTAAAACCAATTCGACCAACGGTAAAACCAATTCATCTGATACCCACCTGTGTAGCTTTAACATTACCGTTTGACTAAAGTAGCTGTTCCTCAAACATGTCAGGCATACTCCTGCCTCAGGGGGTCTCTACCCAACCCCCACATATCTACATGGTTCATGCCCTCACCTCCTTCAGGCCTTTCTTTAAATGTCACCTTTTCGGTGGGACCTGCCCTGACAGACGATTGAAAACCACCGCAGCCCTCACTCCTGCCTTCCCCACACCCAACCAACAGTCCCTCCCTGTCCATTATTGCAGTTTAATTTTCTCCACAGCACTTATCACAATCTAACTCCTGTTTTAATTATGCCACTTATCAGTCGTCTCCCCCTCTCCAGACTGTAAACCCAGAAGAGCAGACATTTTATTTAGCTGTTCAGGGCTATACCTCAAGCCTCTAGAAGAGTTCACGGTACATAGAATGTGATCAATAAAACCTTACTGAGTCAATGATCCAGATAGTGATGTAACACTAAACATTGTGATAGTTTAGGTGTCTTTATGTCTACAAGGACTTTAAAGGGGCTTGATCAATCTCCTCCTCCACCAGATTAAAAACAAAACAAAACCTTAAAACACCCTAAAAGTAGGAAAATTTAAAAAAAGATAACTTGAGAATGGTTACATTTCTCAAAAGTAGCCAAAATGGTCCTAGCATATGTGCTTCCTTGGCAGTTTGATTAAATATGATTTCAGGTGATGTCATTAGCTAAATTCATAGTGGGCTAACTGTCCCCGTCCCTTTGCATTTCTCTGAAGTTATAGCTGGTTTATCATTTCAAAATCTCCTTAAGAACAGAACTTGTACATCTTAATACTCTCTGCAGTGCTGCGATAATAGGGCAATCTATGAAAGTTTATTAAGAAAATATCAGAATTGTTAGCATCTTAGGCCATCTCTTCTCCTTACCTCAAAGCACACAGTAGACATGTCCATATACACATGCCTGTACCAATGGTATCATGAAAAGCATCTTAATTCAGCAGATGAAATCTCTGAAGCAAGTTATCTACTGGCACACCCCAGAAATATTGCAGGTTTGGTTCCCCAAATTGTGTATTGCAACACAGTGAGTCACACAATTTTTTTGGTTTTCCAGTACATGTAAAAGTTATGCTTACACTAAACTGTAGTCTATTAAGTGTGCAATAGCATTATGTCTTTAAAAAAAAATCAATGTACATGCCTTAATTAAAAGTACCTTATTGCTAAAAAAAAGAAAAATCTAACCATCATCTGAGCCTGTTGAAAAAATGGCACCCACAGACTTGCTCGGCACAGGGTTGCCACAAACCATCAATTTTTAAAAAACACAATATTTGCTGAGCACAATAAAGCAAGGTGTAATAAAAGGAAGCGTAATAAAACAAGTAGGTATGCCTATAATGACTTCTATTTTCCCAAAGACGACTTAGAGCTGAAACCTTAGCCTCCTCTTTTATTCACAAAATTCTTGTCTAAATTATACTGCTGCTACCAAAACAAGAAAAAAGAAGAAAAAGCCTGCTCCTTTATCTGACATCTGACATATGGTTCTCACTAACAATCCATCTATACACATAACAGAGGGTCAAAGTCTAACAGAGGATGGTGATATTCAAGATGAATGATGTTGCTTGTAAATTACTTCACAGTTTATGTAAGTAATAACGCTAGAAAAAAAATAATTGCAATGCACAGTAATCTGACTCAAGGCATAGTTCAGCACAGAACTGTTCTTTGTTTTTAAGATCCAGAACAATGCTGGAAGAGAGATATCTCGTTATGATTTAATCAAAGCTTTATATCATTCAAGGACAGTTACATTTGTGTTTTGGCACAAAAAAAGCACTACTGTCCTTTAGAGAAAGGGTCAGCATACCACAGCTTATGGACCAAAAATCTGGCCCAAAGCCTGTTTTTGTATGGGGCACAGGCTAAGAATGATTTTTACATTTTTAAAGGGTTGAGCGGGAAAAAATCAAAAGAAGAATAACATTGGGTGACATGTGAAATTTTATAACATTCAAATTTCAACAGCCATAAATAAAGTTTTATTGGAACAGTCACACTCATTCATTTTGGCATCATCTGTGGCTGGTTTCGTGCTGTAATGGCAGAACTGAGAGCTGCAACAGAAACCACATGTACCACCAAGCTGAAACTATCTGGCCCTTTACAGAAAAGTTTGCCATCCTCTACCTACTTCAGAGCATGAATCCTGGATTCTGACTGCCTCAACCTAAAGCCTACCATTTATTCTCCTTATTCTGCCTCCATTTAAACTCAAACATTTATTCTTATTACCATATTTTCCTGAAAATAAGACCTAACCAGAAAATGAGCCCTAGCATGACTTTTCAGGATGCTCGTAATATAAGCCCTACCCCAAACATAAGTCCCAGTTAAGATTGTCAGCCAGACATGACTGTTTGAATAAATGTAGATGTTTATACATGAATAAATGAATAAATGTCGATTGTTGGAGCAAAAATTAATATAAGACCCAGTCTTATTTTGGGGGAAACACGGTCTTCACCTAGTAACTGAACAAATTACTTAACCACTCTGCACATCAGTTTCCCCATCTGTAAAATGGGGCTAAAAACAGTACCCACCTTATGGGGTCATTACAAATTATAAATTAGTAATATAGACAAAAGCATTTGAAATAGTACCTGGCTAAGTTACTAAGAATTCATTAGGAAAACTGTTATTAAGTATTAGTTATAACCATTATTCCTTCTTGTTGAGAGTTACAGGACATTTTCCAATTGAAATGCTAGCAAAACGATTAGATTCCAAACAAGTCCTCACACCCGTCTCTTTATCATGGAGGAACTAAAGTATGAGACAAGAAGAAATGAGAGAAAAATGAAGAAAAACAAAGAGGCTTGAAGAGGGAATTAAAAGTGAAAGAAAGAGTTAGAAGGACCCCACTCAGCAGGGATAGTAGGTGGCCTAGTCAAAGGGGAAGTATGAATTAGGATAATTTCATCTATAGGAACAGATTAAATAACCTCTGTGGGCTGACTGGATACTAATCACCATGTGTAAGCTGTTTGGGGGGTTAAGGAGGGTGGGGGACATTAGAATCGAAGCTTACAAATGAACTGCTGGGTCAAGCCCATTTTTAAGTTGACAACTTCCTGTATTTTACATTCCTAGACAAATGACAAGTGAGAGCTGCAATAAATTCTGCATCTCGTTATCCATGTAGAGTTACTAATTAAAAGGAAACAATTTGTGTAAGGACCCTGAGCAGCTAAGGAACTGCTTCTAATGAGACTTAGAGGAGGGCAGGGAGAATCTTTCTTATCCAGGAGTTCTCATTTTGTTCAGAATAGCACTTCCTAATGCTAAGAAAAGACTGTGTTCCCATAAATAGAACACAAGCTCATTCACCAAAAACGGACCTGCATGGCAACTGGGAGGTAAACATGGTGTTAATAGAAGATACAGTTAACCTGCTAGGAGGTTGAGAAATTCTCTTTCCAAGGACTTGCTTTCATTTGAATACCTTCTCTGTGCAAAGCGGAGTTCCCACCTTTTCCATGTTTTTTGTTGTTGTTTTTTTAAGATTTTATTGGGGAATCAGGGAAGGGGAACAGACAAGTTGCTGTCCTTTTGTTCTTCAGTATAGTTGTAGAGGATGTCGCTTCACTGGCCCATGTTGGTATTATCATTGCGCTCTTCCCGGGTGAGGCAGTCGCTCGCCGGCCATTGAACAGCCACTCACGGTAGCTCACGGCAGCCCACTGCAGCCTACGCTGTCACCGGTGACTCACAGCAGCCCAGCTCCAGGTTGAGCTGTTGTTCACCATCTTAGCTGCAGAGGGCACAGCATCACTGGCCCTCATGTGGGATCCAAACCAGGGCCCTGATGCTCAGAGCTGGCGTTCCAAGCCAATTCTTAACCAATGCACCACTCGGCCAGCCCTCCATGTATCTTTAAAAATTGCACTATTTCTCATTTTAAATATTATTTCAAAACTCTAAAGCACCTGCCCCCTCAAAGAATTTTTTAACTCACAGCTTCACCACAATCAAACAACTATCTTTTTTACTCCCTTCCAACCTTGATCCCTATAAACCTCATGATTGCTCTGGTTTCAGCTTCTAGTAAGTCTTCCCTACAGAGGCTAAACACACACATCAAATATTTCTGTGAGACTTTATGTGTAAGCATAACATGTAAAACCTTAAGGAAAGGAAAGAAAGACGTCGTTATCCAAGTGATTTCTGCAAACTGTGCAAGAAAAGGAGAGTGCTTTAAAGCAATGCATCCAAGAGAGTAATTAAGATGCTCTTGAGCTGCAGGCAAATTCAAAACACTTACTGAGAATGTATATGCTGGGAGAGTCCTACTGAAGGCTTGGGCTTGAGGGTCAAGGTCATCTGGGCCATGGGACTGACTCTTGGTAGAGTGTCGGCCTTCTTAGATGAAGTGTGTTTCATTACTTGCTCAGGAGGGACCCAGGAGGAAGCAGCCCCAGGACTTTGCCCTCCAAAGGCTGGTGAAGAAGTGTCCTGGGTGTCTGTGATCTCACAGGCTTTGCCCTTGGTCCCTGGTTTACACACACATAGTTGAGGCCGGAGACACATCCCTCCATTCTGGCATGGTGGAACACAGCTTGCTGCAGAAAGAGAACAGGAGATACAAATTGGAAGAAAAACGTTACAGACTTGAGGCTTCACTAATTCTTCCAAAGGCGTAATAGTAGCATCGGGATATTCACCAATAAAATAAAACCATACTTAAAAACATCAAGCTGATGATGATAATAATGATAGCTAATATTTATTAATGACTCCCTGAAGCAAGTGTTCTGCCTTCTTCAGTTGTGTTCTGTGGCTTAGGTTTAAATTTTAGGTATCCAAACAAGACTTGGGAACATTACAAAAGTCCAAGCCCCATCCCAACCCACCAGAGATGCTAAAGACTTCATCCTGCAGAAGCTACCAAAGCATGCAGTGTTTCAGAAATTTAGTCCCCACTTTTTTTTTACATGCACGAAACCCAAGAGTTGACAGTCATCCAATATAGACTCTTATACATTTGCCAGTGGGCTATACACCATCCCTAATTTTATAATGAAAGGCAACCAAAAATAAATAACCTCTTTATCTCCTGTTTGCTAGAATGCGTGTACTTTGAATCACCAGGCTTGTGGCCAGGCAGAGTTTTAAAGTTAGCAGGGCCATGAGTCATGGGTAAGTGGATTTTATCATAGACAAGGTCCTGAGGGAGTTCAGATGTTACTGACATTTTATTAGGTTAATGCCATAGGCCCATGAGCACGATTTCTACAGTCCCTTCTTTATTTGTACAAATACGATTATTTATGCCAAACTTTTGGTATCAGTCCACCTCTGACTTAAACACTTGGTCCTGAGGCAAATCACAATACTAAATCGCCCATAAAATTTAATGCAAGGTTCAGCCCACAAATAATTACAAAGTAAATGGAAGGTATGAACCAGGGGAGGCTCAGTTATGGAACAGCCAAATGACCAAGACAAAACCTACTGATTTTCTTTAAAAGTGAAAAGATACTTTTCCCATTTTTCTACAATACAATTCCTTTTGGTTATAGCAAATAATGACAAGAAATAGCTGTTCAGTGTCAGAATACTAAGCTGACAAATTTTCCAAGAGTTGGGAAGGAGTCTCAAAAAACAAACAAACAAAAAAATGTAGCTCGTACCCCAGGTGACCTTGGGGTAAGTTACTTACCCTTGGCCTCTGCACCTGTACATGGTTGGGGGCAGAGGGAGGGCAGTAGCTGCTTGTTCTAAAATGGTCCCCAAGGGCTCTTCCCATATTATTAGGCTTCTAGAATTCCAAGTCAAAAGCGACACACTTCTAAAGTTCAGGATTCCAATTTGTCAGCGTTTTTCTGATAATCATCGGGTCCTACTCTGAGTATTTATGGAATGTCCCAGGAATGGAAATGGGCTCCACCCGGAGAGAACAGAAGCGCCCATGAGGGAAGACAGAACTGGGTTTTCAAAGCAGAGCTTCTGCCAGAGGCTGCCCCCGCCACCCCTACCCCCAGCACTTTCATGTATACATTCTCTTCATGCTTTCAATTAGAAACATGTTTCAGTTTAACATCTGAGAATGATTTCCGCCTCTCCTGCCTCCCAAGGTGTACTGCAAATGTCTACTAATCTACCAAGAAGGCTGCACCAAGCAACGTACAGAAACTGGTACCCAGAAATCTTCCAAAATACCCTGAGCATATACAGTAAGAACCATCTTTAGGAGTCTAGTGATTTTTTTTTTAACTCTTCAAATTTGGCATGTGGTAGGTTCCGGGGGGGGGGGGGNGGGGGGGGCAGGGAAAGAAAGAAAGAAAAGAAAAAAAAAAACTACACTCACAAAAATTTTCTACTGGAAGAAAAAGAACATGCAAGGTAATAGTATGAATGACTGTGTAACAATACTACCCTTTTGCAGTAAATTTTAAAAGGACAATAAGGAGAATGACTAGACAATTTTGCCTTCCACTTACCCCACTTAGGCTCTGGCAGCAGCCCCCTGAAGCACGCAGACAGGGGTTGGGCTGAACTGCGGGGAAAAGATTCCCTAACTGCCAAAACAAGCGAGCCCCTCACCTGACATGCAAAGCAAAACTCATGTCCTGCAACCAGATTTTATCCAGCCATTTTTCCTGCAATATTCGGACCTCGTGGCATACTGGTTCTCATGTGGCACTTCTCAAAGTGGCGCTCAGACCAGCAGCAGCATCACCTGGAAACACTTTACAAAGGCACAGGCTCGGGCTGCGCCAGGCCTGCTTGGTGCAAAACGGGAGCCCAGCAGTCCGCCTGCCCTCTGGGTGAGTCTGACGCACACTCGAGTTTGAAAACCACTGACACGCAGCGTTTGGAAACCGGCAATCTTCTGCCAGCAAGTTTTTGAGGATTTCTATTTTTATAATTGCCTAGTTTGGGGCTTTCAGACTACAACTGTTTTCATTATGTTGAATTCTTGCTCCGATATAGGTGTTTTATGTTGCCCTTTTTAAGGCAAAAAAAAAAAAATTTGCCATGGGACCAAAGTTTTAAGATAATTATGGGTCCTTTCAAAAGTGTATATGTTTGTCACCACCTAATTCATGGCCAATGTAAAAATTTGTAGGCATGTATGGCAAAACTGTTATTTTAAGTGAGATGTTGAGCTATGTGGAATATTATAAGTAAATGTTACAGAAGTACTTTAAAAATGTTTTTTTTTCCCCTCCACCAGTTGATTCTGCATTTGCCTAGCCAGCTATGATAACACAATAAGTAAACACTACATTAAGATCTTATTGGTCAGTGGGTTGGGCAGTGCTTCCCAAACTTTGCCACACATTAGAATCACCTAGGGAGCTTTTAAAACTCTCAAAACTCAGGCCTAACTCCTCCAGCCGACTGAATCAGAATCTCTGGGGGAGGGGCTCAAGCATCAGTATTGTTTTTGTTCTTATTTTTTATTAACACTCCAGGTGACTGCAACGTGCAGCCAAGCTTGAGAACCAGTAGGTGAGGGAACAAAATCCTAACCCAGACTTGCTGACAGACTAGACTTCCGAAAATGTAGCTCTTTGAATTTTTTCTTCTTCATTCAAAAACATTCAACACATTTTAGCTGCCCATGAGATACATTCAAGATCCTCAGCATCTGGCCCCCTAAGCACACTGCTCCGTACCTCTGCACACACAGGCCCCCTCAAGCTCTTGCTCACCTGAAACCTCTTCCTTCTCTAAGAAGTCTTTCCCAAATGCCTACCCACTCCTCCTATGACCTTTCTATCACCTGAACTCCTGTCCCATTTTCATCATTCACGTCACATTTTACATGCACTGTCACATATGATTAATCGTCTTCTAACACAGTTCTCTTACTTCCCAACTAGATTATGAACTGTGAGGTCAGTTCGCTGACTCATGTAGAACATTCTGTACCCTAGGATGGGAGCCTGAACCTCATCCTGGTTGAGTGACTGATGTGGATGCTGGGCTGTAAGGACGTCTGCAAAGGGAAGGCCATCAGTGGGCTCCTCATCCAATATATACATCGTCTACACCTTCAGACTTGGCTGGCATGTTATTCCATCAAACAGCCTCCGATCCTTCAAAGATGTGTTTAAATCAAAATGAATACTCCATTAGACTCTGCTAATGTATAAGATCTATAGTGGTATTTAACAGTATGCTTGGTAAAAAAAAAAAAAAAAAAGTGTCAGCTCAGATCCAATAGGTTCTGGAAGGACTCTAAAGGGGCGTGAAACTGAAACAACCTGGTCAAGACTAACAGAAAGGAACATGACGGTGGGCTGGTGGGAGCTGTGACAAGTTACTAAACTACCAGCACATTAACAGATTTAGTCTAAGAAGCTCAGGTGCAGGGCCGGCCGAGTGGCACGTTGGTTAAGAATTGGCTTGGGACGCCAGAGGGCCCCGGTTCAGATCCCACATATGAGGGCCAGTGACACTGCCCTCTACAGCTAAGATGCTGAACAACAGCTCAACCTGGAGCTGGGCTGCCGTGAGTCGCTGGCGAGGGCGTAGGCTGCAGCCCCTGTGGCAGTGGGTTGCCATGGGCTACCGTGTGTAGCCAGCAGCCACCGTGAGCGGCCAGCAGCCACCGTGAGCGGCCGTCCAGAAGCCAGTGACCGATCTGCCTCACCGGGGAAGAGCGCAATGATGGTGCCAACTTGGGCCAGTGAAGCAACATCCTCCACAACTAGACTGAAGAACAAAAGGACAGCAACTTGTCTGTTCCCCTTCCCCCAATTCCCCAGCACTGTTCCCATCCCCCAATTCCCCAATAAAAATCTTTAAAAAAAAAAAAAAAAGAAGTTCAGGTACAGTAGAAAAAAACAGCTTCTGAGAGAGACTCAGTTTGGGAAAAGGAACTAGAAGGTGGAGGATGGGGGAGGCACAATTCATAAAGTAGATAATCCAATAAAAGGATTCCACTCAGATAAGCAAGGTGAATTAACCCTCTATGACCCCTTCCATTCCAAACACAGAACAATGATTTTAAAAGGTCTTCTTAGGTTAAAAAGATGGATTTCCATGGCTAGCCAGGATGGAATAACTGTTACCAAACAAGGCTTTTTGCCATAAACAACTAAAAAATGGATGAAAGATATAAAGCAACTGTTGTTGGACATCAAACAGCTGGCAAGAGAGGACAGTGAATCCTAAGATAAGGGAATCTAAGTGGTGAGCCCTACAGCACCCCGACCATCTTCAGCAGGCACTCATGGCACAAGGAAGAACCAAGCGGAGAATGATAAACTCCTGAGCTGAGAGTGCAGAAGGCTGCGTGGCTAGAATCTGCAGGGCAGAGTACTGGGGAGCAGACACCTGCACACAGACACAGTCCCAGGATCTGCAGAAGTCACCCATGACCACCCACTGATACTAGGCTGCACAGGTTAGGGCCAAACACCAGGCCAAAATACCCAGGACCTGTAATGTGCAAATTCCCAGTCTTGACCCTCCAGAGTCAAGACATTCAATAGAGGCCCCAGAATTATATGCACTTTTTAAGATAGTAAAACCTCGATACTGAAATCAGGCAAGAATGATACACAAAAGAAACTAACACAAAAATCACAGTTAAAAATATAGATGC